CCTCCCCAGCGCGGGAGCGGGTGCTGGCACCGCACTTCAGGTGAGTGCGCGGCGGCAGCCAGTGCAGGCATGCGGCAGGGCCGGGTGGGCGAGGCAGACTCCCCGGCCTGCAGGTGAGTCGGGATCCCCACTACCCCGAAAGCTTCGTCCGATTTACACCAGCACGGCTCCCCACCCGGTTTCCCTCCCGTATTCTGGGAAGTTATCTTCTAGTTAACAAGTGTCTCGGGCCCTCTAGGTACTGCCCCGAAGTGGGAGAGGACGGGTTTCTGCAGTGGCAAGCTTTTACTATCACCTGTGACGGCCTCAACTCGTGGTTTTCACGGTAGCCTTTGCCGGGGATTCCTGTCTCAGAACTCAACCCCTGAAGGCAAACTGGGCACGTCCCCCCCACACCCCACCCCCGCACTCGCGTCCCAAGTCCCTACGGTCGGCTCGCAGTTATGGAAACCCGGTTTTCTCACGTAGATTACGGTCCCCATCCCAGAAAATCCGAGCGTCCTCTGCCCGCTGACACGCGGGCTTGATTTTTACGCCTACAAAAATCCGCATTGACTGCCACTTGCAAAGCCCCCTCTGCAGAGTAATGCGCTCCCCACCCGGTCCCCAGCAGTCCGGGTGTGGCTCCCGACTGGAGCCTCTGGGGCGGGCAATCCTGCGGCTTGGAAACCCAGCCAGGACCGACCTGACCTGGGTCCCCGTCAGCCCTCGGGATCCGCTCGGTTTTGCTGCGGACCTGGCTCCCAGGCCGGCGTGGTTGGTGAACCCGCTAGCATCCAGCAACCCGGAGTGCGAATTCCTGGGGCGCGAGCGTGAACGTGCGCGTGGCTCTGGCCTTGCGCTTTCCGGGTAGCAGAGGTTCTCTCTCCCAGGCCGCCCCCTCCAGGTGACTGCGTTGCAACCTGTTCAAAAGACTAAGGGGTTGATCCTCTGGATTCCACCGGCTTTGGCTGAGCGCTACGCACTCCAGCCGCAGTCGCGCCTACCCGGCTTGGAGATTTTTTTTTTTTCCCCTGCTGTAGTGGCGCTCCGGGTCCAGTCTCCGGGCACTACAGCTTGGAATGCCGTTGGTGCGGCGGGGGTTGTTCCGGGGTTGGGGCGGGTTGTTGTTTTGTTTGCTTCCTCCTCCCACTTTGGATCTTGAACTGGGTCGGAGGCAGCCAAGCGAAGCTAGAGAGGGCAGGTTCCCGGCTGGGATCTGGGGGAGGAGGAGGGGCGTGCGGTCCACTCCAGTGTCATCTCTGTTTGGACCGGGCAAGGCGGCTTCTGGCGGTGCTGCCTACTGGTGTCCGCACTGCCTCGCTCCGCAGCGCGCCTGAATCACGGTCCACATTTGATCTTTCAGGAGGGCGCAGGAAAAGAAGCACCGGCGCAGCCACGGTCTCAGCCAACGTTTCACACCCTTTTCTCCCGGCCTGCGTGCCTAGAAGCTGGAGCTAGCCGGAGCCTACGGTGGGCCAGTAAACCTAAGGATAACTATAAGGGCGGTGAGCAACGACCCGATGCAAAGGGTCCCTGTCTTTGAGCATCGACGGCTGATCTATACTTGCCTGTGGTTTGGGGGAAGAGTGGAGCTGGAATTTTCAATTCCAAATTATGTGCAGAATGCCCAGTTTTCTCCCCACTAGGGCGGATCAGACGGTACAGAAAAGAGGACTCTGGTAATTCTGGTTTTGCATTTTGCAAGGTTTCTCCTCGAGCTTTACGTCAAACGTCGGATAGGGAGGGAGTTGGGGTCCTGGCCAGCGCAGTGAGAGGAGAGGTTCTCTGAAAGCCTCGCGCGCCCCTGGCCATGTTGCCTTTACTTCCCTCTGACTTAGCGTGGCCCTCCCAGGGTTCCCAGGGCTGGCCGGGGTTGTTCCCCACCCGCGCATTCTCCCTCACCCCCAGCCAAACTCAACTGGCAAGGCTCCGCCGAGGCGAGACCTTTTGACTCCAGCTCCTTCCCTCCCGCCTCCGTCCCCCGCCCGAGGGTGGCCCTAGAGAGCCGGATCTCGCCGGCCCGGCAGAGACCATGGTGTTTCTCCCCGGAAATGCTTCCGACAGCTCCAACTGCACCCACCCGCCGGCACCAGTGAACATTTCCAAGGCCATTCTGCTCGGGGTGATCTTAGGGGGACTCATCATTTTCGGGGTGCTGGGGAACATCCTAGTGATCCTCTCCGTGGCCTGTCACCGGCATCTGCACTCGGTCACTCACTATTACATCGTCAACCTGGCTGTGGCCGATCTGCTGCTCACCTCCACGGTCCTGCCCTTCTCCGCCATCTTCGAGATCTTGGGCTACTGGGCCTTTGGCAGGGTCTTCTGCAATATCTGGGCGGCAGTGGACGTCCTGTGCTGCACTGCGTCCATCATGGGCCTCTGCATCATCTCCATTGACCGCTACATCGGCGTGAGCTACCCGCTGCGCTACCCGACCATCGTCACCCAGAGGAGGGGCGTCAGGGCTCTGCTCTGCGTCTGGGCGCTTTCCCTGGTCATCTCCATCGGGCCCCTGTTTGGCTGGAGGCAGCCGGCCCCCGACGATGAGACCATCTGCCAGATCAACGAGGAGCCCGGCTACGTGCTCTTCTCGGCGCTGGGTTCCTTCTACGTGCCGCTGGCCATCATCCTGGTCATGTACTGCCGGGTCTACGTGGTGGCCAAGAGGGAGAGCAGGGGCCTCAAGTCCGGCCTCAAGACCGACAAGTCCGACTCGGAGCAAGTGACGCTTCGCATCCACCGGAAAAATGTCGCGGCCGGAGGCGGCGGAATGAGCAGCGCCAAGAACAAGACGCACTTTTCGGTGAGGCTCCTCAAGTTTTCCCGGGAGAAGAAAGCGGCCAAAACGCTGGGCATCGTGGTCGGCTGCTTCGTGCTCTGCTGGCTGCCCTTCTTCCTGGTGATGCCCATCGGTAAGTGTTCAGGACGCCTGGGCGTGGGGTTCAGTGGCCTTCACCCTCTTCCTCTTCTGTGGCCCAAGGTCACAGTCCCTAGTGGAAGAGGGCTCTGCGTCTCTTTGGGAAGGCTTTCTGGTAGAAGCCGAACGTTCATTCTCTTTCTACTCCAATCGCGTTTACCCTGGGTCCCAGGGCACTTTTCAACTACTGTAAAGTGGCTTCCAACCGGTGCAGATTAATTGGTCTCCATAATAAGAATGTCAACTTCCTTAATGCCTTTAAGTGTGTGTTTAATTTAAATCTGTCCGCCCTCTTCGGTGTCTCGGAGTCTCCAAGGAGTACTTAGGCTGACTGTCAAGACAGGGAGTGCAAATTCTCTTGGCCTGAAAATAAGCACCATGCTTATTTTAGACAAATGTGCCATTGTATT